TTGGCTTTAGGTACAGATGGGATTCAAGTAGCAGCTTTTTCCTTCTTCCCTTCTCCTTTGTCTTACCTGGCATTATTTTTTCTTGTTATGTCTTCCCTGTTGAACCTGAGCAATAATATTTCAATTATAGTATTTCTATCACATTTTATAACTACTTTTTTCTGACCTCCTCATTCTGACAAAGTGCTGTGTCACCTTCATTTCTGCATGTGAATCCCTAGCAGAAGTGATATCAGGTTGGTTGTTGGCATTTTTCTGCAACAGTGGTTTTCAACTGGAAGTGATTTCATCCCTCAGGGTTGATTTTGCCCTATCTAGAGACATTTTTGATAGTCATCGTTGGTGGGTAGAGGCCAGAGATGCTGCTAAACAACCTGACAGTGCACAATTGCCCATTACATTATCCAGCCCAAAACGGTAACAGTGCTGAGGCTGAGAAACCTTATTCTAGGATGAAATCCAAAGCTTTAGGGAACTAAATGAAAAGACATTTCATAACAAAAGATGAATTTAAATTTGGAGTTCTAGAGTAAAGTGTGAAAGTTTTCATTGTCAAGGAACTCAATTTGCAAACTAAACTATTCTTTTTTTTTATGGCCTATTGTTAATATTTATTCAGAAGCTGCGTTCTGTGTCACATGAGGAAAATATGTGACCCCAGTGCTTGTTAATAGGTTAGCAGCTGCCTACAGTAATTTAGACATGCAACTGAGATAGTCAAAAAGATAAAGGAATTAAACTCTTAATTTGAATTTTTTCACTTACTTTTTCTTATTTTAAATATGCCTAGTAGGACACTTCTGGCCAAGATGGAGGTGTAGGTAGACACACTGTGCCTCCTCGCACAACCAAAATAAGCACAACAACAATTTAGAAATAAAATAACAACCAGAACAGACAGAAAATTGAATTATATGGAAGTCTGACAACCAAGGAGTTAAAATAGACACATTCATCCAGACCAGTAGGCGGGCAGGAGTCAGGGGGCTGGGCAGAGAGGGGTCGCAGCACAAAAAGGGGTGGCACCAGGTGTGCCAGGCACCCTGAGCACACAAGATGGCAGTGGGTGGACCCTAGGCGCGAGGTGGCAGCAGGCAGACCCAGCGAGGCAGTGATTGTGAATCGAGGCACTGCACACAAGGCGGCTGGCTGACCGGGCAGTCCCACATTTGCGTGCAGATAAACCAGGAGAAAGTGGGGAGCAAGATAGACCAAACAACCCAGGGTCCCAGTGCCAGGAAATAAAGCCTGAAAATACCGCTTGAAAACACCTGTGGAGGTTGAGTTGTAGGGAGAGACTCCCAGCCTCAGAGGAGAGTTCATTGGAGAGACCCACAAGATCCTAGAATGTACACAAGCCCACCCACATGGGAATCAGGACCAGAAAGGCCCAGTTTGCTTGGGGGAAGCAGTGGAAGGGACTGAAATCTGACAGAGAGCAGAGCAAGCACCATTGTTCCCTGTCGGACCCCGCCCCCACATACAGCGTCACAACCCAGTGACCTGGGTTGCCCTGCCCTGGTGAACACCTAAGGCTCCGCTCCTCACACGTAACAGATGCAACAAGACAAAAAAAAAAGGCCCAAAAGGAAGAACAGATCAAAGCTCCAGAACAAATACAACTAAGTGATGCAGACCTATCAGATGCACAGTTCAAAACACTGGTCATTAGGATGCTCACAGAATTGGTTTAATTTGGTCGCAAATTAGATGAAAAAGTGAAGGCTATGCTAAGTGAAATGAAGAAAGATGCACAGGGAGCCAATAGTGATGGGAAGAAAACTGGGACTCAAATCAACAGGGTGGACCAGAAGGAAGAAAAGAAACATCCAACCAGAACAGAATGAAGAAACAAGAATTCAGAAAAAATGAGGAGAGGCTTAGTAACCTCCAGGACATCTTTAAATGTTCCAACATCTGAATTATAGGGGTACCAGAAGAGGAAGAACAATAAGTGGAAAAATTATTTGAACAAATAATGAAGAAGAACTTCCCCAATTTGGCAAAGGAAATAGAGTTCCAGGAAGTCCAGGAAGCTCAGAGTCTCCCAAAGAAGTTGGACCCAAGGAGGAACACACCAAGTCACATCATAATTACATTAGTCAAGATGAAAATGAAGGAGAGAATCCTGGAAGCAGCAAGAGATAAGGAGACAGTAACCTACAAAGGAGTTCCCATCAGACTGTGAGCTGACTTCTCAAAAGAGACCTTGCAGGCAAGAAGGGGCTGGAAAGAAGTATTCCAAGTCATGAAAGGCAAGGACTTACATCCAAGATTGCTCTATCCAGCAAAGCTTTCATTTAGAATGGAAGGGCAGATCAAGTGCTTCTCAGATAAGGTCAAGTTAGAGGAGTTCATCATCACCAAGCCCTTATTTTATGAAATGTTAAAGGGACTTATCTAAGAAAAAGAAGATAAAAAACATGTATAGTAAAATGATAGCAAATTCACAATTATTAACAACCACACCAAAAACAAAAACAAACTAAGCAAACAACTAGAACAGGAACAGAACCACAGAAATGGAGATCACATGGAGGGTTAGCAACAGGGGAGTGAGAAGAGGAGAGAGGGGGGAAAAGGTATTTTCTGCCTATTTTTCTACCTATTTTTTCAGGTAGAAAATAGACAGGGGGAGGGCAAGAATAGTATGGGAAATGTAGAAGCTAAAGAACTTATAAGTATGACACATGGATATGAACTAAAGGGGGGGAAGGTGGGTGGGAAGGGGTGTGTAGGGTGGAGGGAAATGAAGGGGGGAAATGGGACAACTGTAGTAGCATAATCAATAAAATATATTTTGAAAAATGTGTCTAGTAACAAGTGACTACCTAAGTAATTTTCTGGGAAATGTGGGGATGGGTGACATCCTTTTCAAGCTCTTAAAAAGGATGTAACTATAAAATCTAAAAAGGCCAAATGTTATAAACCTTTTGTCTTGTGTAGGTTAGCAAATGATGAAGATTCTAGTGCTACCCACCACATGCTGGTGCACATACATATATATGTACCCACAAATGATAATTCTTACATAATGTAGTCATCTCACTCTCTTTTTAAAAGATTTATTTATTTTTTAGAGAGAGGGGGAGGGAGAGAGAGAGGAAGAGAAACATTGACATGTGAGAGAAACATTCATACGTTAGCTCTCTTATATGCCCTGATTGGGGACTGAACCTGAAACACAGGTATGTGACCTGAGTGTGGGGAATCAAACCAGTGATCTTTTGCTTTGTGAGATGATGCCTAGCCAGCTGAGCCACAACTGAGGCAGACCAGTCAGGGCTGCCTCTTTACTCTGTTTAGCCAGGTGCCTCTTCAATGTCAGGGACACAGTCCATGTTGATCCATCAAAAATAGGGCTTCTCCTGATGAACCATACCTGTGTTATGAATTATCCATGTACAGAAGATCCATTTAACTAAATACAGAATTTACATTTGTAAAGTTAAAATCTATAGGTATTAAATTAGAGGGGGCTACTAATATACTGGACAGTTAGAATGTTGAAGTATAAATTGTTGCTGCCATTAGAACAACATGGGACTGAATTGCAAAACCAAGTAATGGGAAAATAAAATGTGTAGCACAGTTAATAGTTTTAGTATGTGTCTGGCCAAAGATGAGAAACATCACAGAAGAAAGTTTTGATTTTCCTCTCCAGTTACACTATGTGATATGAGTTTCTTTTTATAATCTAGTTTTCAGAATAATTCTTATTTTGGTAGTTTAGCAATTTGTGTAGGGGAAAGAAGAAATATTTTAGGAAATGTGAAGAAAAAGAGGCAGTGATTTATATTCTTATAGTTCCTGATGATATTAGAAATTTAAAACTAGTCTCTGGAAAATATTATATTGAACTTGTGCTGGAAAATATAGTTTTGATCTTTATCTTTGGAGACTTTTGATACGTTAAGTGGTGTACACCTAAAGGGGTGATTTTCTTTGGTTTATTAAAAATGAATATTATTTACCTCACATTAAATTTCAAAATCCAAAAAATACTTTTTTTCCCAATAGGTGTTATAGTGACTATCATCAGCTATTCTGGTTGGTGTTGTTAGCTAACTTTTCAAAACTGACTATATAGCACATTTATTTTACTGAAGGAAAGTTGAACGATGGTACTAAATTTGGTGGATTCTATAAGATATTATCTAGTTTACAATTTATTTAATCTCATCTTGTCTTTGGTTATATGGCTGGATTCTTTAGATTTTGTGTCAAAATAGAAATTTAAGCTATTATATGTACAAAGTTTAAACTACTGTATTGTTGGGGACTGCTCGGTGGTTTCGGAGACTGTAGCCCTATGAGTGCAGACTTTGAAAGGGGCTAGTAAGTCTCCCTGGAAAACCAGGTAACGCAGATGGCAGGCATGACTTGATGCCAACACCAAGGGTTCCCATGAGAAATCAGGCCTGATAAATACATTGTATCCTTTGAAGCTTGCTTTGCTTTGTATAGCTCTGTTGATATAAACTGGATGTTTAAATTCAATGCATAAGGATATCTAATATCATCATGAGATAAACTCCTTATCTCATGAAACACGTCTTAAAGACCATGTGGCGTCAGCATGTCTCACAGACCCTGACCTATGACAAACTCTGTGTTCTTTCAATTGTTATCTATAGATAATACCTGTTTTTGTACGACTATAGCCTTTTGACATTGATTGATGAGCTATGCATGTATGCTGTATACACCTACACATACCATTCTCAATAAAAGCCATTTGGGAGAAGGGCTTGGGGCATTCCCTACTAGAGGGAATTGCCACTTCCTTTCCTGCCGGAACAGCAAGATTGTGTCTGGGATGACTTATTTCTCATCTGTGGCAGCTAGGAGAGCTCTGTGGGATGGAGTTCTCCCACACTATATATACAAAGTTATTTAATGACAGTAATTATAAGGGAATAGAATAATAGGCATATAATAATATGGGCTTGAATAAAGAATTCTTCAAATTTAGTTGCATTTCTCTTAATTTCTTTCAGACAAGTTCTACAGAAATTTTGGAGTATTCATCAGATAGTGAAAACAAAGATGATTCACAGAATGTCCTGGTCACTGATTCAGAGTCATCTCACAAATACTATATGGATTTTGGATCAGATGGAAGACAAGTTAAGGAAACACCAATAAACCTGATGGTGAAATCTACAGATAACATTTTGTATACACCACAGAAACAGACAAAGTTTCCGAGGACTCCTGAAAATTCAGCAAAGAAGCAGCTTTTAAGGTTAAATTACACATTTTAAAATACTTAATATTTTTCTGCCTTTAGCAATCTAAATATCTAAAATGTTAATTTTAAAATGCTTACTTGTTTACTTGGGAAGGAAAATTGAAAGAATAGAATTGTAATTTCTTTAAGTAATGGGACATCCTGAAGTTCTGGAGATGATTTATGTAATTGCTCATCTAAGTTGAACATTCAGTTTCAGTCATAACTAGCTTATGTGACTGTTTTTCTTAATGGATATTGCCTGTTTGGCAAATTTTATTGATCATCAGTATTTCAGGTGATGTCTTAGACAATTAATACAAGTAAATGACTCTGTTTTCAAGTAACATATAGTCTAAAGAGGGAAATAGAAATAAATATAGACTAGAAGTATTCTAAATATAGACTAAAAACAAGACAAGACTCCTGGGCATTTTTTGCTTTATATCATTTTATATATTTCATGTCAATCCATTCTGACCTAAAATGTTTTTGTTGAGAAATCAGCTGACAGTCTTATGAGAACTTCCTTATAGGTAAGTCGTTATTCTCTCACTGCTTTTAAGTTTCTCTCCTTATCTTTAACCTTTGACATTTAAATTATGTTGTGTCTTGGTATGGGCCTCTTTGGTTTCATTTTGTTTGGGACTCTCAGCATTTTTTTCCTTGACCAGGTTAGGGAAGTTTTCAATCATTATTTCTTCAAATAGGTTCTTGATCCCTTGCTCTTTCTCTTCTTTTTCTGGTACCCCTATGGTGCGGATGTTGTTACACTTCATTTTTCCTAATGGTTCTTTAAACTATCCTGATTTTGTGAAGTTTTTTTTCCCTTCTTCTCTGATTGTGTGTTTTCTGCTGTCTGTCTTCCAAGTTGCCAGTTTGATCCTGTGCTTCATCCAATCTGCTGTTCATTTCTTCTAGTGTATTTTCATTTCAGATATTATATTCTTTGTTTCTTACTGTTTTTAATGATTTTTATATCTTTTTTTAATGCTGTTGTAGTTCTCACTAAATTCCTTGAGCAGTCTTATAACCATTATTTTTCAACTCTATTTCTGATAATTTGCTTGCCTCCATTTCTTTTAGCTCTTTTACTGGAGATTTCTTTTCTTTCATTTGGCAAATGTTTCTTTATCTCTCCATTGTGGCTTCCTCTTTGTGTTTGTTTGTAAGCATTAGGTAGATATGTGGTGACTTCTTGTCTTTGTAGGGTGGGCCTTATGTAGTAGTTATCCTGTGGGACTCAGTGGCATAGTCTCTCTGATCTCTTTGGCCTGTTACTCCAGGAATGACCCTTGTGTAGATTATGTGGGCCCTTTTTATAATTAATTCTTGATTGCTTTTGGCTTGTTCATGCGTGGGGTTGACCTTGAGCCTGGGTCATTGTGAGGATTAACTCTAACCACAGTGTATGAGCTGCTGTGTATGTGCTGATTACAGGATGCAGAGTTCACCTCAGTAGGGTGTGGTGTCTGCTAAGATCTCCTTTTGGATATGCCACTTGTTAAAGTAATTGGATTCTGCTCTGATGTTGTCTGAAGCTGGCCTCTAGGTGTACTGCTTCTGGGGCCTCTTGATAAGGGACTGTGGTACAGGCCAGTGTCAGATACTACTTGTTATTGGCCCTGGAATTGTGTCTGGAGCTTAAAGTAATTCACATTTTATTCATGCCTCTGCTTGGGCTGTGTGTGCTTGGGAAGACCCAAAGTACATACTAAGGGCAGCTTCCACCACCAGCAGTCCTGAGGGCAGATGAGCAAGTCCCAAGGAACTTGAGATCTGTCGTAACCTACCTTTACCTGCCAGCTGGCTGATTGACTCAATCACTGAAAGAACCACTGGCAGTAGTTAAGTTGCACGAGGGAGGTTCTCAGTGAGTGGTATTCACCAGACTGATAATGGTTCAAATTCTGTATCCGTGATTGGTCTGATGCCACTCAGCAGTTGTTCCCAGGTATACCAATCTAGCTACTACCCTCCATGTGCCTGCAGACTTTTTGGCTGGAGCAGGGTCACAGGGCGTTGTTAAGATGAGGCCAGCAGAGTCAGGCCTAAACAAACCAAGATTTGGCTCTGTGAAAGGAGGCATCTGCACCAGTTGGCATGCAAGGGAAAAATGGCCATTGTCCTAGAGGCTTACAACTTAGCCTGTGTAACATTCTGCCAGGATCTTGAGTTCAACTGGTCAGTGACTCTGGGAATCAAGAGTGAGTCTGGTAGATACCTGTGATGGGGAGGTGCCAGTCAGTCTTGGGGAAAGGTAGGAAGATTGGTTTCCCTGCCCCAGAGCCATTCAACTCAGTCTCTCCCCACTTCTGCCCAGACCTCATCCTGGCAACACCATTAGGAGTTGAGAAAGTAGAGCCAACTGAAGCCCAGAGGGTGGAGCTAGAGGATCTTCTTTGAGAGGGAGACTCTAGTCAGGTTCATGGGTAAGTGGCCGGAATGACCCCTACCCCAAAGCCACACAATGTCGTCACTGACACTATACCTTCTCAGATTGCCCAGACCTTTAATTCTTGACCCAGGGAGCTGATTCTTCAGCAGGCCCTGAGTTCCACAGGGTGGGTGATATGAATTCCATAGAGTGGGGTTATTGCTTTTTCCCAAGGGGGTGCTCCACTTAAGAAAAATGGCATCTATGGTACAGGATTTTGACTCAGCAAAGGTGTCCCAGCAGCTGACTCCTCAGTTCTCTTTCTAGAGCCTCTAACCCTACTCTCTTCTCACACAACACAAGTCCACTGTACCCTCCCTTCCTCAGAACTCAGGTTGAGTAGTTGCAAGTGAGATTTTATGCATTGGCCCTTTAGGATAGTGCCTCTCTATCTAGAAGGCTTCTGTCTCTTTCTGGCAGACAGAATTGCTGCTGGCTTTTATAGCCAGATGTTTTGTGGGTTCCTCTTCCTGGCTTTGGTGCTATGGGCTGGGGAGCCTTTTGTTGGGTTGAGACCCCATGCCCCTCAGGAGGAATTGTTGCAGTTGAAATCTCTCTTAGCCACTGCCTGTCAGAGTGGGGCCAGCTCTTTTCGCCCTTTCCTACCAGTCTTGGAGCGGCTTCTTATCTAAATCATTGGTTATACTATTCACCAAGTCTTCAGGTGGTTATTTAGGTTGATTGTTCTATATTTTAATTGTAATTCTAGTTTGGTCCTGGGAGGAGATGAGTGTAACATCCACCTAATCTGCTGCCATCTTGGATGTCCTCTGATTTTTTAAAAATTCTTAAAATTTAATATCTAAATATCTATTTAAATATTTACTAGAATGATGATTGTTTATTAGAGATCATGGTGTTTACATTCCTAAGTTCTGGTGCATCTGTCTGTTTGGAATTACCTGCAGGAATTCTGTGGTCAGATTGGAGCAGAGGTATTGTGTGTGGTCCCAGTATAGTTCTTAATGACTAAATGCAAGTGTAACATGCTGATTCTGTTCTGGGCTCCAGATACTTCTGCATGTAAGCACTATTCTTCATCTATTTTTACTCTTACTTTTTACCTGCAGTCCTATAGTTCCTGCAGTTTATTTGTGTGATACAGGACTTGACTTTAACCATATCCTTTCAGATTGTATTTTGCCTTTTTTTCTCCTCTCTAAAGTCATAGGTTTAAAGAAAACCACATTTTAAAAATAACTAGATCATTGTGGAAAGAATAACTGTGTTTTGCCTTTTTTCTTGTGTTTATTATATTTTTAAGTAGAGCTCTTTGAGACACTAGGGTATATCATTGAGGCTAAGCTTGTGAACTCTAGAGGCAGACTGCTTATGTGTGCATCCAGCTCTATTATACATCAGACGTCTCACCCTGTACAGGTATTCAGTGCCTCAGTGCCTCGGTTTACCATCTGTAAAATAAGGATGACAGTAGTACCTACTTTCATAGTGTTGTTTAGAGGGGGAGTATGCATGAGTTACTTAACATAAACAATGGTATGAAGAAAAATTTACATATGTATTAAGTAGAGGTAGGCATATATAAAGTAGAGGTTCCTTGATATGTTTGTGATTATAAAAATTTTTTAAAATTTGCCTTTATGTATTACACACACGCACACACACACACACACACACACTCTCAAACAGTGCTTAGAGGAAAACAAGTGCCTATAGGATAACATTGTAGGTAGTGGTGATAATATGTATAATGTGTATTAAAATAAGATCTTTAGATTATTGTGGAAAGAATATATGGTTCAATTAAAGATCATTTTTTAAAAAATCATTAGCACTAATGACTAACATTTTTTGAATGCCAGGCACTGTGGTATGTCCTTTCTGGTTTCTATAACTATTCTTCATGTGGCTAGTTATGTAATACTGGTGAATTTCCTTAACATCACTGTAAACTTTGATATATCATTTGTGAGATAGGTATTGATACCTGTTCTTTTTACCTCAAAGAGATATTATTAAAATGGAATGAGATCATTTAGTAAGATGTTCAGTGAACTGGTTCATAATCATATATTATATAAAACATTAATAAATTATGTAGCATGTAGTCATAATGGCAATTAACTGATCTTGATTTGCCTTGAGATTATAGCTGTTTGAAAAACTGCTAACTTCTCTGAATCAAATATATATGTGTAATATGTCTATGTATTTAAAAATCTTTAATATAGATGTATTTATTAATAAAGACTTTTGTGTAGGGCCTCAATGTTTACAGTTATCAATCATCTTTTTGCAATACATGAAAATCATTCTGTTTATTCTTGCTGTGTATTTGTAATTAATACTCAGTTATCTTTTTTGTTAAAATAGTGAGTCTGTATGGAAATTCTCCTGTAGAAGTATTCTACCTATTAGGATTTATTATTGACTGCAGCTCTGAACCTGCTACATTTAATTGTTTACCACTGCCTGCGGAGTAGATTACAAGTCCTTTTCCACCTCAGTGGCATAACTCGTTATATTTTTTTGTATACCTAGCACTTTCCTAAGTAAAACAGAAAACAAGTAATCTGAATATGTTTACAGGATAAGTAAACTAAGAAGAATGAAAGAAGTCAAACTGATCTGTAGTAGTTCATATTTCTAATAATCAGAAAATTGAGCTTCCAAGAAATCTCTAAAAAGTGGATTACTGATCTAGGAAGATCAGGTTATGAAGAGAATGTGATGTCAAATAAGTTAAAATTTTAATGGCTTATCTATTTGTCTTTGGTTGGAGGGTATAAAATATAAATGTGGCAACTATTCTGAAGCTTTCCTTTTAAGTAAACCTAATACATTATAATTCATTAAACAGAGGTGGACTAGCAGAAAGACTAAATGGACTACAGAATCGAGAGAGATCTGCCATTTCTTTGTGGAGACATCAATGTGTTTCTTACCAAAAGACACTTTCAGGTAAGGCTTTCACTGGCATCTGAGACTGTGGGTAAAAATATGCCAGTTAAAATTTTTACATTAAAATACATGAAGTTGATCATTACTATTTTCATGACCTTATTTTTTTTTCAGGTATCCTATAGGTCTCAGAAATTGTTCCAAAAGATGAGCCTATTTGTATAAGGTCTTAATGATTTCTCCCCATAGAGTTTGTCATAGGTCAGCAGGAGACTTATTCATAAAGATCTGGCTTGGAGCATTGTATAATTAGACCTTTTTCTTGCTGTATCTAACCCAGTAGCTTTCAGACTTATGGGATTGTGACCCCCATAGTTAGAAGTGTATGTTGTATCATCTCCTAATATGCACATGACATTCACACACACACACACACACACACACACACACACACACACAATACACACCCCTCAAACTAATACTTCCTAAACAATAACATTAGTATGTTCAGTATACTCTGTGCTCGCTTTTATTTTTACCTTAATCCTAGTTCTGTTAAATTGATGCAGGCTTTTGTAATGATTTTCAAGGTACAGTTCAAAAGTTGCTAAGATAAGCAAATGATGGAAACTCATGTTTTTTAATATTTGTTTTTTATTTTTAAAGTATTTCACATACTAAGAAAAGCTTTTTCTCCTATGAGACAGTGTTCTTTTTCATGGTGTCTTCCTGGGTCGTCCCTTTATTTGGAATGAGGGAAGAGGTGTGTGGGCATGGTCATCTATTCTACACCTACTATTAATAATCATCTCTCCAAAGGATGATATTTAATATACAATAGGCAAGATATAGAAACAACCTGAATGGCCATCTGTGGGCAATTGGAAAAAGAAGTGGTACATATATGCAATGGTATAGTAGTACTCAGCCTTGAATAGGAATTAAATCTTGCCATTTACAACAACATGGATGGACCTAGTGGGTATTAAATCAAGTGAAATAAGTCAGAGAAAGATAAATACTGTATATTTTCACTATTCTGTAGGATCTAAAAAACAAAATAAACAAAAGAGACACAAACTCTTAAGATACAGAGAAAAAACTGAGTCCCCAGATGGACGAGGATTGGGTGGTCTGAGTGAAAGGGCTGAGGGGATTAAGAGGTACAGATCAGCAGGTACAAAATATTCAGGGGGAGTAAGTTACAGCATAGGGAATACAGTGAATGATATTGTAATGACTGTGTATGGTGTCCAGTACAGAGTAGACTTATTGAAGGAATTACATTATAAGTTATATAAATGTCCTACCACTATGCTATTTACCTAAAACTAATATAATGTCAAAGGTCAACTGTAATTGGAATTTTTTAAATTAAAAAACAGTTGTCTCTCCAGGGATACTTGGAATATGCATTTTAATAGACTCACAGGTTATTTTTGCACATATTAGAGTACAAAATAGAACTACAGCTCTAGATACAATACTCAACTAGTATCACACACTTCTTTAGAAGACTTTTGAAGTCTTAAAATCCTTTCCAGCTGTATTTTAGCAACTGTATTCTCTTTTTCACAGTTTTGTATTACAGTATTATGACATAATACCTGACACTTAGGACCCAAGAATTATTTTCCTGTTATATGAACCTATGGATCAGCCTATTATATTTATTAATTTGTATCTTGTCATTTTTTATATCAAGGATTATAATATTAAATAATCATTTTCATAACTCATTTGATCAGTCAGAAAGCCAAGCATGCATTGAAATTGTCTAATGGTATTATTCAGGGAAGTCAATAATACACTGGCTTGAGCACAAAAAAGAACTTAATAGTACTCACAAATTGAAAGTCACAGAGAGAAGACCATGCTTCAGGCATGTTGGTTTTGAAAGGTTGGCACATCATCTTCATGTGGTAAATCCCAGGTTCAAGTCCAATAAACAGAATTTCTTTTCTAACATTTTTTCAGAAATTCTGAAATGCTTTTATTGATATGACTGAGACATGTATCCCTTCTTGAACTGATCGCTGGCGGGTAGAATATAATGTAGAGCACTGTGATAGCCCAATGCTTAACTCATGATCATTTTCTTTTCAGACTTATTTAATAAATATCAACTAGAACCTTTATGACTGTACAATATACTATCTCATTTTCACCTTTTAGTCACCTTTCACTTTCTTCTATTTATAAGTCTACACATGTGCATACTTGGCCTATGAATGATCTTGACCCAGAGTGATCACTTTTTTCATTATCTATTGATCTCCACTTCTATTTTTTTTAAATTTTATTTTAATTATTGTTGCAGTACAATTTTCTATCTTTTACTCCCATCCCAGCCCACCATCCCCTCCTCCCTCCCATTTCCACCCGCCCCTAGTTTTTAATCCATGTGTCCTTTATACTTGTTCCTATAAACTATTCCCCTTTTCCCCTGAAATTCCCTCTCCTCTCCACTCTGAACACTATCAGTCTGTTCTCTATTTCAGTGTCTTTGGTTATATTTTGCTTGTTTCTTTGTTTTGTTGATTAGATTCCTGTTAAAGGTGAGATCATATGGTATTTGTCTTTCACCGCCTGGCTTATTTTGCTTAGCATAATGCTTTCCAGTTGCATCCATGCTGTTGCAAAGGATAGGAGCTGCTTCTTTCTTTCTGCTGCATAGAATTCCATTGTGTAAATGTACTGTAGTTTTTTGATCCATTCATTTACTAATGGGCATCTAGGTTGCTTCCACCACTTGGCTATTGTAAATTGTGTTGCTATGAACATTGGGGTGCGTAGGTTTTTTTGGATTGGTGTTTCAGGGTTCTTAGGATATAATCCTAGCAGTGGAATTGCTAGGTCAAAAGGCAGATCCATTTTTAGTTTTCTGAGAAAATTCCATACTGTTTTCCATAATGGTTGTACCAGTCTGCAATCCTACCAACAGTGCACTAGGGTCCCCTTTTCTTCACAACCTCTCCAACACGTGTTGTTTGTTGCTTTGTTTAAGATGGCCATTTGGACTGGTGTAAAGTGGTATCTCATTGTGGTTTTAATTTGCATCTCTCTGATAGCTAGCGATATTGAGCATCTTTTCATGTGTCTCTGGATCCTTTGTATGTCCTCCTTGGATAAGTGTCTGTTCAAGTCCTTTGCCCATTTTTTAATTGGGTTGCCTGTTAATTAGAGTGGAGTCCTGTAAGATCTTTATATATTTTGGAGATTAAACCCTTGTGTGAGGTATCATTGGCAAATATGTTTTCCCATACAGTTGGTTCTCTTTTTATTTTAATACTGTTTTCTTTAGCTGTGCAAAAGCTTTTTATTTTGATGAGATCACATTTGTTTATTCTTTCCTTTATGTCTCTTGCTCTAGGGGATGTATCAGTAAAAATGTTTCTGCGTAAAATATCTGAGATTTTCCTGCCTATGTTCTCCTTTTGAACTTTAATAGTGTCATGGCTTATGTTTAAGTGTTTTATCCACCTTGAATGTATTTTTGTATATGGTGTAAGTTGGTGTTTGAGTTTCATTTTTTTTTGCGCCTAGCTGTCCAATTCTCCCAATACCATTTGTTGAAGAGACTGTTTTTACTCCATCTTATGTTGCTGCCCTTTTTGTCAAATATTAATTGACCTTAGAGACTCAGGTTTATTTCTGGACTCTCTGTTCTGTTCCATTGGTCCATGTGTCTATTTTTATGCCAGTACCAGGCTGTTTTGATTACAGTGGCCTTGTAATACAGTTTTGCATCAGGTATTGTGATCCCTCCTACTTTGCTTTTCTTTCTCAAAATTGCAGCAGCTATTCGGGGTCGTTTATGGTGCCATATAAATTTTTGAAGTGTTTGTTTTATATTTGTGAAATGAGCCATTGGTACTTTAATAGGTATTGCACTGAATGTGTAAATTGCTTTGGGTAGTATGGACATTTTGATGATGTTAATTCTTCCAATCCATGAACATGGTATATGTTTCCATTTGTTTGTGTCTTCCTTAATTTCTTTCTTCAGTGTTATGTAGTTTTCTGCATACCAGTCTTTTACCTCCTTGAGTAGATTTATTCCTAGGTATTTTATTTTTCTTTTCACCATATCGAATAGGATTTTTTTCTTGATTTCTGCTTCTGCTGCTTCATTGTGGATATACAAAAATGCCTTTGATTTCTGGATATTGACTTTGTATCCCGCTGTTTTGCCAGATTGGTTTATTAGGTCAAGCAGGTTTTTAGTGGTGTCTATAGGATTTTCTATGTACACTATCATGTCATCTGCAAACAATGACAGTTTTGTTTCCTCCTTTCCACGTTGGATACCTTTTACTTCCTTTTCTTGTCTGATCAGTGTGGCTAAAACTTCCAGTACTATATTGAATAGAAGTAGTGAAAGTGGACAGCCTTATCTTGATCCTGATCTTAGGGGAAAAGATTTTAATTTTTTGCCCATTGGGTATGATATTGGCTGTAGGTCTCTCATATATTGCCTTTATTATGTTCAGGAATGCTCCCTCTATTCCCACTTTCCTGAGTGTTTTTATCATAAACGGGTGCTATACCTTATCAAATGTTTTTTCCACCTCTATTGTTATGATCATATGATTGTTGTCTTTGCTTTTGTTTATGTGATGTATTACATTTACTGACTTGCGAATATTGAACCATCCTTGCATCCCTGGGATGAATCCCACTTGGTCACAGTGTATGATCTTTTTACTGTATTGTTGGATGCGGTTTGCCAGTATTTTGTTGAGTTTTTGGCATCTATGTTCATCAGTGATATTGGCCTGGAGTTTTCTTTCTTTGTTGTATCTTTATCTGGTTTTGGGATTAGTATGATGCTGGCTTCATAAAAAGAGTTTGAGAGTCTTCCATCATTCTGGAAATTTTGGAATAGTCTGGGAAGGATAGGGGTTAACTCTTCCTTAAATGCTTTGTAGAATTGTCCTGTGAAACCATCTGGTCCCAGACTTTTTTGTGTTCGGAATATTTTGATTACTGCTTCAATTTCATTTGCTGTTATTGGTCTGTTCAGGCTTTCTGCTTCTTTTTCATTGAGTTTTGGAAGA